CTCTTTCAGAGACTTGTGTCCTTCAGTTCTGGGAAATCAATCCGTGTTATTTGTTTGATAGTTTCCTTTTACCTATTTTCTCTCTTGTGGAACTCCTATGAACCAGATGTTGGACATCCTGGATTGATTCTCTAATTTTCTTACTTTTTACCTATTGTCTAATTGATAGTATGTGTGTTATACTTTCTGGAAGATTTTCTTGACTTTATCCTTCTCTCTTTTTTTTTGCCATCATAACTTTAATTTCTAAGAGCTTTTTGTTCTGATTATTTATTTTTAAAAAGCAGTATCATGTTGTTTCAAGGATGCAGCTACTTCTCTTATCTCTCTGAGAATATTTATAAAAGCTTTTAATTTTAAAAGTATTCTTTTACCCTGTGCCTTATATGTTGCCTCTTATTTCTTTTAGTTTCTTTTTATTTTGGGCTCTGTGCATTATGCTGAAGAATTTCCTCAAATGTCTAGTGATTTTTTGGCAGTCAATTTATATTTTATTTTATTATTGTTACTTTTCATTTTTTAACAACAAATTTTTTTTCCTTTGTTGCAGGGAAAGTTTCGCCCTGAGCTAACATCTGTTGCCAATCTTCCTCTTCTTTTTTCCCTCCCCAAAGGCCCAGTACATGGTTGTATATGATAGTCATAAGTTGTTCTAGTTCTTCTATGTGAGCCGCTGCCACAGCATGGCTACTGACAGATGGGTGGTGTGGTTCTGCAACTGGGAAGTGAACCCAGACTCCTGAAGCAGTGAGCTCTGAACTTTAACCACTGGGCTATCAGGGTTGGCTCCAATTTACATTTTACAGTAAGGTATTAAGATGCTGATTAAAAGTTCTATGTAAACATCCAGGACTTGTTGGCTTAGTGGCCTTCAACGTGGCCAGGTAGCTTTTTTATTGTGAGACACGCCACCCCCCCCAACCCATATCAATACCTGAAGCTCTTCCCTCTAGGGACATATAATTTCCAAATAAGTTCCTGCAGATTCCTGCTTGGGGGAGGGGAGAAAGAAGAGAGATGGCCATACCAGGTCCCCTGAGCTCCTCAAACAGTGCAGAGAAAATGACTGGGCGGACCCTGGAGTTCCGAGTGCAGGCATTGTCTGACACCAGTGCCTTCTGCTCTGCCTGGAGTCCCCAAGGGGAGTATATCATCAGCTGAATTTCTCTAAACTATAGATTCCTGTGGGGGTGGGGCAGCTGCAGAAGGTCAGAGAGAGGACCTTAGGTCTAACTGCTCTGTAGCCAGACTCTGAAGTAATTCCTTTGTTTTCCCCTCTCCCTGGCCTTCCACAATACCGACGATCCCACATCCCGACCCTTTCTGAGGTTTTGTAATGCACATCATCTCATTTCTCACTAGTGTCTCTTTCTGCAGGCTTTCTGTGCCTCTCTTGGGTTACAGTTAACTCCTGTCTGCCAAGTCAGGCAACTGCCATCCACCGTCTCTCACGCACTCTGGTCTCCTCTCCCATTCTCTTGCAGATTTATAACTTTTCAATTCTTTTACTGTCATTTCAGTGGGTTTCTTTGGGGTAGGGAGAGAGACAGATTAAAATATATACATTCAACTTGCCATATTAATCAAAAGCCTCTTTAACTGCCCTTTCTTCATTGGCTCCTTCTCATCAGCATGCAAAAAAAGAAATTTATTTTATTGCAGTAAAAACACAACGTGAGATCTACCCTCTTAACATATTTTAAAGCGTACATTATTGCTGACTATAATTCATCAGCATTTAAACATTTTCAAGTGTCCTCAATATTAAGGAAAACAGGACAATAAAAAAATGTTCCCTTGATTCCACCTCCACCTACTGCATTCTCTTTTCCTCCACAGTCAAACTTCGTGAAACAGTTGCCCCACTCTCTCACCTCTTCCTCAACATCCCTGCATTTCTGAATCTACTGCTACCTACCTTCTACCCGCATCGCTCCACTGAAACTGTTCTTGCAAAGGATACCCCTGTGGATAAATCCAAGGGCACTTCCTAATCTCCACCTTACTTGACCTCTCAGTAACATCTGACACTGCTGAACTCCCTCCTTCTCAGAACCCTCCTCTCCTTGGAGTTTCTGACCCTGTATTCTCCTTACATCTTCCTACCTCTTTGCAAATGAGACCCACACTCCTTAGCAGGGCTTATATGGTACAGACCATGCTTCCCACACCAGCCTCACCTCTTGCCATGCCATATTCAACTTCTATGCTATGACACATGGAACTTCTTTCACTTCCTAGAGCAAGCCGTGTCCTGTTTGCTTCTGGTCTTTGTACATCCTATGAATTTCTATTTGGCCAGTTTTGCAAATCCCCTATATCTGTGTTGAATGCCTCTCTTATGTGCTCCTAGAGCACCCTGTATTTCCAACATGTTCATTAAAAGGTACTGCAACTGTCTGCTCACTTGTCCATGCTCCATGAGGACAAGACCCTATCTATGTTTTACCTCTTTAAAGCTGTGTCACTAGAGCTGTACGATGGCTAGCGCATGGCAGGCATCCAATAAATGTCAGCTGAGTGAATGAATGAAGACACAATCAAGAGAGAGGGCGAATCAAATGCCTACAGAAAGACACAGATTATCATATCTTCTCTTTAATGGGCAAGCAGAACAAATGAAATTACACATGGACCAAATTCAGTCTGTAGAAAAAGACTTTACACCAAAACCTAAATTCTTTTGGCTGCCTTTTTCTATCTTCTTATCAGCGTATCTGACAAACAGTCACCACATTTTATACAAAAACAACCAAATGGAGAGTCAGAATATCAGAGTATCAATACACCATCTCCATAGGGCTTAGAGAAGGACAACAGTCTAAATGTTTCAGGATATTTTAAATCTACATACAGGTAAATCACAGGGTTTCAAAATGCTATGGGAGTGGCAATGTTTTATTCTGGTAGTTTTGGTATAATTTTGCTCACATACTAAAATAGGTCTTTTAAAGAAATGTTTATCTTCTTCAGAAACATTTCTAAAAAGGAGGCTGCTTAGCTCTGTTGAGGGGATAACCTATTACGCACTCAAACCATGAGTGTGGTAGACTCTGAGGGGGAAAAACAAATCCCAGCTCGAGTAAAACTGGATTTCCAGCCTTTCCAGACTGTCATTTAATATAAACCAAGTTCTCAATGTTCAAATACCTGAAACACCTTCACTGTTTTACTGATATGCTTATCACCAGCAAGTGTCTTCTTCTTTGGTGCATAACAGAAGTCTTCAAAAGCATCTTGACATTTTAGTTATTTTGAATTGTCTCTAATATCTGAACACATTTAGCCACAACTGAAGAGCCTATTATGCCTATTGACAAAACAGATCTGTTTCTAATTGTGAACCGTAATAAATACCTTGCTAGGTTTTTCCCAGCTGGAAAAACCCAGAAAGAATTCAGAGGTTATGTCTAGTCTCTTGATAATGAACTACTATGTGGAAAAAAATGTTCTGAGCTCAGTAGGAAAAAAGGAGAAGTGTTGTGATGAATTGTTTTCCATTTCACTTGTCTGAATAGATATTACTTTATTTCTACTCTATCTGAGTCTCTGCCCAAAAAAGAACTCATACATTTACAACTGAAAAACTGCATCTGTTCAAACAAAAAAAATCTCTCCATAGATAGATACTCTAAGCCAGAGAGAGGGAGGGAGCGAATGAGGAAGGGTGGGAATGGGGGGGAAGAGAGAGAGAGAGAAGGAGAAAGGCAGAGAGGAAGACAGAGGGGGAGGGAGGGAAGAAGAGAGGGGCACTATACTTGTCTTCCCCCAGAGAGACCCAGCAATAAATCAAAAGTGACCCTAGACATCATTTTCAGGGAAGAGAGTCCTCCACGACAAAAAGCACAATTAAGGAAAAAGTTCCAAGATAGAGACACTGTCCCAATACAACCAAAGCCCTGGTACAACAGGCACACTGGGGGCACTGCCTATAACCTGCCACTTTGGGCAGTGACTCTGAGAAAAGTAAATCTCTGCTCCTGTAAGCCTGCTGGTGCTCACTTCAACCAGCCTTCACTTGTATTTAAATGTTAGAGTATGGACTTCACCTGTGACAACCTCCCCGAACACCATCACCAACATATATTCACATTCCCTCCAAGGATGGCAGGAAACCCCATACCCAGTTGATATTATACGTCCTGGACAGACTATGAGCTACTTATTAGCCCAAATATTCACATTGGTCCTTCCATCCTGAATTTCTTCAAAATTCAGCCAAATACATGAAAATATATGCTAAAAATCTTACTGATGGGTACATTGGACCCAGTCATTCCTTGGGTTCAAGTGAAAATGAGTACTTATACAAGCAGTTTACACACAATATGCAATACAATGCATATTGTAGTTGACTTTTTCCTCCATTATTGACCACTTAATTTTCAACAACCACTATCATTATCGACCTTACACCATAATACGATGTGATATATGATGCTAGTCAAAGGAAGCATCTTCCTCTTCCTCCTTCATTTATCTAACTCCTACCTGGCTTCTCAGTTCAGGCACTACCTCATTCAACAATCCTTTCTTAACCAACCATATCCCTTCTCCAAATTCTCACAACAGTCCTTCTCTTATGGAATTAGGTGGCCCTCCACTAGGTTCCAAAACCATCCTCTGCATATTACCTTCCTAGGAGTGATCACAGTACTCCATTTATAAGACCCATCTCCCCAACTAGTCTTTGAACTCCTCAAAGGCAAGAATCATTGCTTATCTTTATGTTCCAGTTCATAGCATAGTGTCTGGTATTTAGTAGACATTCTAAAATACAAGTGATTAAATGTACGAATAAAGGTATGACTTTAGACTTAGAAACAGAATTATAGAGATGGGTCTTTAGAAAACATTTAGTCCATCCCACTTCATCCAAAATTCCCTAAAGAAGCATCTCCTAAGAGTTGTGCCAAGATATTAAAACAAGGAAATCATTATCTATGTTCAGTAAAATATTAACATTTTCTAATGAAAATAAGATTAAATAAAAACCTTACCGGCAAAGTTCCAGGCAGAGATGCATCAAAAAAAGATACCAAAGAATTTGGAGGTGCTGCAAAATGGACTTGAGATCCAGAGAAGAGTTTAGACTTGGAGGAAATCTGGGCATGAATTTCCAAACCTACCACAGCTGCCCACTCGTGTTCACTAAAGAGAAAGATAGAGTGGTTAAGAAGTAGTTAGATTTGTCACCATGCATGACTTTCTGTGAACCTAAACCACAAATGTTAATTTCCTATTTGTGTTTTTAACTTATTAAAAATTTACATCCTTACATTAAACAGTGTGTCATATTGTACTGATGACTAAATCAAAAGCAATTCATAGCGAACACCTACAAGATGGCAAAATAAAATTCATTTACAACAGGGCATAGGGAGAGGGCACTGTACAAACAGGAAGGTGATAGAGAAAGGAACAATTTGGCATCTTAAAACAATTTAGAAATGGGTATCAGGTGGCAACTGCTTGGCTGACTTCAGAGAAAAGCAGCATTTTCTAAATTAACTGTCCTTTACCAATTAGTCATTCAGTAAATGAAGAAAGCCCATCTTGGGGATATTTTTAGAATCAATATAAACATAAGTGTTCTACTACTAGAGACATAATGGTAAATAAATAGTTGCACAGCTCATTATTTAAAAAAGAAAGGAAATTCTCAGTCATTTCATAACAATGGCTTGCAAATAAAATGACCAGAGTGACACATATAACAGATCACCACTAAATGATACTCTTCCTGGGAATTTTGCACAAAGAAAAACATTAAACTATCAGAAGTAGCATTTTTTTGGTGCTCCAAATCACTTGCAATTCCCAAGGTCTAGTTTCAGGTTCCTTTGCTTGTTTGTTCATGCTTGATTGCTATCAAATCTAAAAAGCTCTTAAATGCTGTAATAATCTCTTAATATGGCCCCTCCTACTCTGTTAGGTCTGTATGAACATTCCATACACAGGTCTCTCCAGGCTCTTATAAGCGTGCTTAATCCCCTGAAACTCATGTATCCTGGACAATCTGCAAATGGCCTGTTTACACATACTCTCTCCATATTTTGTCGTTCCTATCCTGCTTTTCTCCCAAGCAATTTTCTATATTATCTAGATTTTTGTTTATATGTATTGGGTTTTGTTTCAATCATTTCAACATAGGAAGCTCTGTATCTATGGTATTGTGAGAAGATTAATTCCTTCTTTTTAAAGTTTGGAAGAACAGCCTGTAATTGAGAGGAATGAAATGAAGACCTTATCAGAAATTCTGCATTCACTAAAACACTATTCAAAGTTATTTCTCCAGTTTCATTACATGAAAGAAACACTTCCTATTCACAGTGAGATTACCTAATTTATGAAAAGAATAGAAAGTGAATTCTTCTGGACATTTTCCCTGTTTCTCGAACTGAAAAGCAAAAATAATACCAACCTAACTAGCTCAAAAGATAAACAAAATATTAGACACATGCCGTATGTTTTTGAGTAAAACAAAACATATTTAAGTATTATATAGTGAAGTATAAATAGCTGTTCAGAGGATAACTAGCAAACTAGGCCAAAGATGTCTTGTATTGGTTGCATCCTCCTAGGTCTAGATACACATGTTCAACATGAAACGCCTCCACAGAATGGTGGTGTTTACTCGTATGATATTAAGCCATCACTATTCAGAGCTTGTAGGTAAAGGTTCTCTTTCTACCTTTAGAACGTTGCTGGCCTATAGTAGCGCTAAATAACTGTCAGCTAATTAAGATCCCGCTTCTAGTGTCACCGACCTCACTGCTGGTGCTATTAGTAAGGCGACTGAATCCACTCTTCTGTCTGTGCAGCTTTCGATTCAAGAAAACACCTGTGAGGTTACACTCGCGAATTCCCCAAATATACTTATCTAATTGAAGACAGTGGTTTACGTGTAGGGGCGGGGCTGGTAGAGGGTCTGTTTTGTGCTTTCGTTTAGGTTTCAAGACTCTAAGTTATAGCCCAACACCCTCCCGCCAATCAAAACATCTACACTGAAGGCTGGGCTGTAGTGGCCATCATCTCCCCACTCCCGCACTTCCACCTCACACTTAGGTGGGCAGTAATGGTATGAAATAGTATACCCTTTCCTCGGCTTCTGGGCCGTGATGAAGGGCTGCTGAGCCACTGAGCTCTGTCCCCTTCTCCTGCTGGACGTGCACCCATTCGGAGCCCCTCTTCTGTGGCGAGAACAACCGTCAATGCAGGCTAAAGCCCAACGCCTTCCAGGACAGCACAAGCGGAGCATGGGCGCCGCCATTGCCTCTTCCACAGTCTTGGTCAGGTGACGCAGCCTCCCTCCGCCGCAAGACCCCTTGGGAAGCGTAGTTCTGGAACTGTACAAAACCTCTAGCGGTTCGGACCGGAAGACTACTATTCCCGGTGAGCACTGCGACTCGAAGGCTGCCGGAACCCTTGCGGGGAGGGGAGGGAAGGAGAAATAGAGGAGAGGGTGAGAGGGTTTCTGGGTCGAGAGGTGTGACTCCTCCTAGCGGGGAGTCTCAGTTTGTGACCGTGAGCTTGTGGATGAGTTTGAGTGAGAACAGGTGGTGCCGCAGATCCAAAGCTGAGAAACCTGGCTAGGATTTTATACCCCAGTTAAACTTTCGAGCTGAAGTAAATGACCTTGACGTCTCCGCGAAGACTTCCTGAACCCCCAACTCACTCACTTATTTTCTCTGTCTACTCTCCCAGTTCACACACCAATTTGTGCATTAATGCAACAGATACTTATTTGCGTGCCTACTGTATGCCAGGCACAGTTCTTAGGCACTGCGGATACAGCAGTGAGCAAGACAGTTATGGCCCCTATGCTCATGGAGCTTACGTTCTTGGGAGAGGAGACATACAGAAAAGTTAACAAAAAATAGGATATTTTCATGGAGGTAAAAAGTGCTATATTTAAGCAGAGGTGCTTGGAGACAGACCTAGATTCAACCTTCGGGTACATTTTAACTTATTCTCCTTTTTGATCTTGGCCAGTATTTGAAACCCTCTCCTTATATGTGAGAAGCCTTGATAGTGGATACCATCGTCCCAGTGGACTTCTATTTTCCTGCTTCCAAACTCATACTCCTTGTTGACACTCCCACTGATTTCTTGTATCTGAAGACACAATTTAGAATAGCCTTTCAGGCACTCTCTATTATATCACCCTATTTTAATTCTCCACATAGTGCTTATAACTATCTGATGTTTGTCTTCTGTCTCCACAAGCTCTTTGAGAATGAGGAATTTGTCTGTCTTACTCAACACAGTATTACCAGAGTACAAAGTAGGCCCCTCAAAAATATTTGTTGAATGATGTAATGCAGTGTGGAGAATGCATTTGACAGTGGATGCCCTTTGGAGGAGTAGTTGTTTAGGAGGGAGGTAGTGAAATAGTGTGGTGGTGGAGGCAAAGAGAAATTGACCTATGTGAGATAGATTCAGGAAGTAAGACTGAAGGACTTAGTGATGGATTGGATATGATGGTGAAAGACTAGGTGAGGTCAAGTAACTCTTGGATTTCTGGCTTGTACAACTGGATAGCTAATGGAATTATTTACTGAGATAATGAAACTAGAAAAGAAACAGATTTACAGGAAAATATGAGTTTGGTTGCCTTGGAGACACACAAGTGGAGAAGTCAAGTAGGCATCGTTGATACCTAACTCCGAGTATGTAGCAGGGGAAAAACCTGCATACTCTATATACTTCATAATGATAGATTTTCAGTTATTGATCAATACCTATTGATTTGACATCTGTAACCTATGATCTATTTCCATTAATACTCTCGTACAGTTATATTATGCAATTTAATGCCTCCATGGAGGCAATGTTAGTCTCCTTAGAATTGCTGTTATTTATTTTTTTCTATCCTTCCTACTTTTTTCATCCACTATCACTGATCCAAATTGCTACACCAGAAATATTTTCATGTGACTGAAAATGAAAATGAGGGAAATGACAGACTGCTAAGTAGAGGTGGAGATTTGTTTCAAAATTTATCTCTAATTACATATCGCCCTTTCTATCAGGTTCAGATCACTCTTTAGATCCTTTATTAGTATATCCCCTTTTAGTTTCCATATTTCCCACCTTTACACTAGATAAGATTGCTTTCTCTTTTGTATTTAGCTCCTTGGGTTTTCTGGCCAGACTGGGGATCAGGAGAGTTGCCTCTGATCACAGCATGGTTCCACCTTTGATAAGACTTCAGAGGAGAGAAGAATCTTGTACCCTGGGAGTGAGCATGGGCATCTTTTAGCCAAAAGGAGAGGGAGATCCTTTGTATCTTGCCACTGGTAATCAGTGTACCTAGGAGGCAATTCACTCCCTAACATTGAAGGGTTGGGGGTGTTTTGAAAACCACCATAGGAGAGAGCAGCACACCTAATGAAAATCCTAATTTTATGGGCAAAATGCACTGTAATGGAAACTCATCTTTGTTTATAAAGCAGTATTATGCATTGATAGCATATCACTTCAAAGGCTCCCACCCCACCACTAGAGGGAGAGAAAATCCTATGCATGAACTTGTATTTGATTCCTTTCACAAATGGAAACCTTCCAATTCTGTGCCTATTACACAGCCCCTTCAAAATCCCACAAGAGCTAATGGTTCCCTTCTCCCCCAGGATTATCTGTCATTTCCAGAAACGCTCATTGGTTTCCTCGTGCGTGGTCTGGTGTCTAGGAGTGCACTGTCTTCCAAGCGCCCCTCCTGCGTTCTCCTTAGCTAGTCAGGTGCTCCCCCAAACCTCCTACCATGGGACCGTTTCTTGCCTTCCTTCTGCATGCCAAATCTGATATCTGTCAGAACTCTTACTGACAGACAGCTCTCTAGCTGAGAGAGCTATTTTGGTTCCACCGAAAAGGTGGCTGTCATCTGGAAGACACAAGAGATTTTCATTTTCAAGAAACTCAGAAGGTAGCAGGACAGGGTTTCTAGCAAAAATATTTTCTTAGGGAGAGTTTCTCAGCTCTTATTTTATTCACATAATTGACACAGTACAAATAAATTTAGAACAAGGTTTTAAAAAGATATATAAGCCAGAGCAGAATTTCGAGTTGTTACTTATAAATGACAATAGTCAGGAAGTATGTCTAGAGTAACGTGCTTGATTTTGTTTAGTATTCTTTAGAGAGTCTTCAGATGTCAGAGTTGGAATGAACTTGGTTACCTCTGTGTTTGACTCGAAATCCCCAGGTATCTATATAAAGACGTTGATTTCTGAACACAAATCATTTTTTCTCCCAAATCTAAGTCGTGTTTAATTGTAATTGCTCCTTTTTCTCATTCTTTCACTGATTTGGGATGGGAGAAATGATGTGAAAACGTGGTATTTCAGGATTTATAACTTCTTCTGTAATGTGGGTACAATGTGAGGGAATGATATAAGTGGTTCTAAGTTTCCATTTTTAAAAATGAAGTAAACAATTTTAACATAAACATTAAAATTTCAGGTAAAATTTAAAGGAGGTAGTTTCCACTATTCATTCTAATAGTATTTCATGGCAACGTGTCTCGTAATCTATTTGTATACAATTTTGAATCTTAAAATTGTGTTAACTAACCTTTTCTTTGATTAACTGCTTTGGTCCTGTGGAAACAAAGGCAGTGTGTTAAAGACATTTAGCAAACTCACAAACAAAATGCCCCTTGCAGTCTAACAGGGCTGAATGTGAGTGGTTGTCTTAGTATTTCTTAACATAGTCGTGAGTTTCGTTTCTCTGTGGGACTGTTAGTTTCTATGGTTATAGCACCCAGCCTGCTGTCTTGAATTTTATGCCATGTGGGGAGGGTGACTAGGTTAGTATAAATTCTCTAAAAAAATCCATTTAAGATGATGTACATATGACAAAAATTGACAGCATCATTTTCATGTAGGAGGAACATTGGCACTTGAGGAAGTCCTGTTTTTGAAAAAGCATTCTGAAAACATAAAGTTCCCTCTTAAAAAAACCGCATTTTAAGATCCAGTTAAGTGTCATTGGGGAAGAAGAAAGGCTGGGGATACGTGCATGCCGGGCCACCGGGAGGACAGGATTCATTTCCTTTTATTTTACCATTACATCTTGATTCTGATAAAATACTGATGTGGAGGGAACAATTGCTTTCTCTAGAAGATTGCTTTGAGGCAAAGAAATCTATAACTTTTTCTTCCTTTGCAATGCAGGGAAATAGAACACCCTGTCCAATGTCTTTGTGGAGATGAAGTGCCATGTGGGGAAGATGAGGCCAGGACATTGCTGCTATTAGGCCTGCCTGGCCCGTAAACTGTAATCTCTTCATGTCCTTTCTTCTTCTATCTGGTCTCAAGGGATGGTGTGCTGTTTCCCAGGCTTTTTCTTTTCTAGAAATCTGACTAATCCTGGAAGCAAACAGGAATCATGTGTAAGAAAGACGCTCCACCTCTACACATCCCCATGACTCACCACTTACTTGAAAGAAGATACCCCTGAGTCACAAGTATCAGTAGTAGAACATGTTAAGCTCTGTGTCCCCGTAAGCTATGTTTAGCATGTGGTCAGATCCCTGTTATGCGCTCAGAAGCTCTCTCTTTTGTGTTTTGCAATTGGATATTTGGCCTTCAAAGTTACAGAGCTTTTATACATACACGTGCACACAAACATACACACGTGCACACACACGTCTAAGCAATCTCTTATTTCAGGATTATCTAATTTCAAGATTCTGCACAAATAATGATCAAGAGCTTTTAGATTCCAAAATAGATGATGTCTTTTTCTTGGGTCAGAAGGGTCTCTTGATTTTAAGTCTGAAGATTCTCAGGAGTAAAAGTATGATGTTAAAGAACTACGCCACCAAGACACATGAGTTTTGATGACACTTTTCCTTTAGTAAATGAACTCCTACTTGATAATTGAAGGAAAGTTGTATCAGAGTCCAGCAGGGTGGTGCAGAAGAGAACAGAAAGGCTTATCTTACACATCCTGCCAGGTAATCGGTGTCATTACCTGTGAGTATCTGAACTGGGATCTCTGTAACTAGGCTGCCCTTGAACCAAGAGTGGATGGGCTGAACAAAGCAATAAAGGCTGAAATCTTGTTGGTGGCAGAGCCTTCAGAACTCACCACAGTTTAATGTATGGCGATTGAGAGGAAATTTAGTGCTCCATGAAGAGGTGCCAGATTGAATTAAAATCAAGCAGCTCGATTCAAACACATTAGCAATCAAATGATATAACTACTGAGATAAATGCAAAGAGAGAGGCAGAAAAAATTTCCCAGGGATTCAAGAATACTAATTAGGGAGGGAAAGACCAGCACAGACATGTTTCCTTGGAGTCTGACTTT